AAATATAAAAGAGTCAAATTGTATTATGTTAAATAAAATTTCAGAAAAATAAGAGAAGATAAGAAAATTCCAGATTACGGAAAATGAAATTCATGCGTATATGTGTGCGTGTATTATAAATTTTTGTATATAGAGGCTGATATTATTATATTATAGAGATTTCATTTAAAGATCCTTGTATTTACATACATAAATAATATTTAGAATAAAAATAATATTAATAAATAAAATAATACAAAATTGAATTTTCTTTTTCTTACAAATAAATTCATATTTTTGTAATATATTTATAAATAAATAAATAAATGTATATATTTATTTATTTAATATATTTTTATTTTTGTATATAATAATTAAATACAATTTTTAATTGTTCTTAATTTGACATGGAAAATATGTAGAAAATTTTTCAAGATTGAATAAAATTTGTATACAATAATAAATTAATATATAAAAAATACAAGGTGGCGTAAAATTATTAGTTTGAATTTATTATTACGAAATATTGCATTTTTAGTTAGAAATTTTTTATTAAAACAATTTTTTTTTTGAAATCTCTTCTCTCATCAAATTGAATACGATGTCCAACTCTGATTTGCAATGATATACATTTTATTATGGAATTGTTCGTGTAAGTTATCGCTAGTTATTCATGTTTCAAAAGCCTTGTAATTGTACATATTTTTGTGTTATAATTTAAGCTTTTTAAATGGTAAATGTAAAACTGCGCAATTTTATTTTACAATTTGTTGTAAAACCCAAGGATTACATTCTTAATTTTGATTTTAACTATTATCACATTGAATATTAATTGAACTTAATGAAAATTTCTTCATACAACTGCAGAACAGATGGATGACGTAATCAAAGAAACAAGTTAAAAGCAGTAAAATTAAAAAAATTGAACTGGACTCGAATAAGTGACATACTGCTTTTTAGGCGGACGTTCTATCAACTGAGCTACTGAGGTATGAAGAAATTGCCGACGAAATGCTTTTTACATTGCCTTATACTATAATCTGCATGATTACTAAGTATTATTACATTGAAATTTATTATTCTCATTTCGAACAGACTAATTTATTAATTATAATTATAATTAACAACAAGTTTTTTGATATAGAATCATAGATCAAGGAATATATTACCAAGAGAGCATAGTACTCGCCAATTTTATTTACGCTTTTCATTCAAAATGCTAATTTGATTTGTTTGATTCTAATTGTGTGTGTAGACATTTGAAATTTTTAAAAATACAATTTTTAATTTGAATTTTGATTTGAGTTGGCAAATTTGAGTTTTAAAATAGAAATTTTTTTGATATTGTTTTTTTTCTCATAGTCAAAAATTTTAAATTCTAATAATTTAGTTTTGAGAGAATGTAGCCTGAAGAGAGAGAGCTGGTTTAAAACGTCTCTTCTTTTTTGTTTTATCATAGTAGAATTTTTGTTTTATCAACAATGAATAGTAGGAAATTCAGGAACATGGCAATGGTTCAAGAAAAACACAAATAATGCATATAATAATTATTAGCTACGAAACAGCGTTATTGCTATCATTTCTGAGCAGTCTATATGAGGGTATTTTTTAGAAAAATTGTTTTTTTATGTATCTAATTTTAAATACCGTATTATCGCACTATAGGTCTCGAAGAAAATTTTAAAATTTTAATTATTACTTTTTAATTTTACATCATCCTGTATAATATTATTAGAATTTCATTAAATTTTATTTCTAAGGAATTATCAAGGAATTTGCTCAATAATATTTATATTATGTTCTTAAAGTACACATATAAGAAAACTTTATAATAATAATTATTAATTGTGTTAAAAGGTTATTTATTTTTTGAAATGCCTAAATATATAAAATTAACTTATATTTATCTTATAAAATAATATTTTATATATTTATTTTATCATCAATGAGCATTAAGAATTTTATCATTTATAAAAATTGATCAAATATAATTTTAATTATACGACAAATTCATATTTCTATATTTATAAAAAAAAAAAATATTTGTATTTGTCATTTTAAATTGAATTTTATGTCTTATTTAATATATCTGTAAGAAAATAACTGCTTACAGACATGATCATGATTTCTATAGAAAATTATAATAAATTTTTTATTTTTAGATAGTTTACTTTTACAAAATATAGATAAAAAATAAAAATGACGTAGAATATTGAATAAAATTAAGTTTTTACTTTTATAAATGTCTTTAAGAAATTATCGCTTTTTTTTTGTTTTAAATATAAAACCTAAATCATTTCCGATAAATTTCGATAGATTTTAAAATGTATAATTAATGAATATTTTCAATTTTGTGCAATAAATGTGTAATTGAAAATATTTGGAAATTATTGAAATTCAATCAAATTAAGCTATACATTGTATAACAATCGAAAGTAAATAATTTATTTTTGATATTAAGCTTCTGAAAATTGAATTGAATATCATATACAATTTTATTTTGGTGGCATATAGTCAAATATTAAGATTCGATATCAATTTCATGCTTACAATTTGTCATATAATCCCATTTGGCAAAGCCGCATTAAATTTAACCTCAGTTATTTTAATTAAAAAAAAATCTGGTGTAACTAGCACATAAATTATCTTATCTATTTATTTCAACACGGTTTTTTAATAGAAATATTTGAACTTTGCTGGTAAATATGGGAACCAGTCAAGTCGAAAGGAGTTGAATAACACACACACACACTTTATTCGTAAGGATATTATATAACAGAAATTATTTATTGTTATTTTTATTAAGTTTCCATTACGGTAGATTATCACAAAATTTTATTCTAATTATTATAATATTATTTGATCTACATTCTTATTTTTTATTTAAGTCTACGAATCTTTAACATTTTCCTAGATCTATAGTTGTAATATTCATATCTGTAAGAGGATTTAATGCAATAATTAATTATTGTCTTATATGTATATACAAGTTTGTAATTTACTCAAAATAATATAACAGTGCATATAGAAAATTTTAATAATAAAAAATTAATTCGTATAGCAGCTATAGAATTATTGTTTCTTAGGATTACCATTTTATTGCCTTACATAATATATTTTTTGTTTTTGCATAGGAATTGCATAGAATTAAAATTAATTTTATAGCTATTGCTTCTCTTTTTCTTAGACAGGAATATCATAGAGACTTTTACAAATTAATATATATATATATATATGAATGTATATAGAAAAGTATATTTTCATACTACTCCAGTTCTACTCTGTTAACAACAACATAACACTTATGTATACCAATATATACCGTATAATATATTCCTGAACAAATTTATATACGATAAAAGCTAATTAACACAATGGAATTAAAATACTCGTATATACCTACACATAATGAAATGAAAAATACTTGAAAGGAGATTAACTGGCTTAATAAGAAGGTTTTAAATATTAACATAAAAATGTACAAACCCATACTTTTGTATACTACAGTAGACATACTATATATACATATCTATGCTCATATGTTTATAGATGGAAAAAAAAATTAAATCACTTTTTAAGAATTTTTTTTAATACCACTTAAAAGGTATAAAAAAAAAAAACAAAAATAAGAATAAAATAACAGAAAATAAGCACGTTGTAAAAAATATTTGAAGTACACCTCTGATTTTATTTTTGTATCTGAGAGTATTCGAATTATACTGAAAACGAAGCAAAATACAAAAAAAAAGAATGAGAAAAGGTGGAAAAAAACAAAAATAAATAAAAGATATCATAAAATACCTGTGTTAATTAGAATTAAATAACGGTATTTGGTTGAAATTCTTTGATTTTTGTTGTTGTGTTGTGTTTTTTTTTTTTTGGTTTTACATAATTAGAGAAGAATTCAGTTGTAATATTAGAATTTTTTAAAAGGTTGTTTAATTTTGAAATTAGATCTAATTTGTTTCCCGAAAAAAAATATGGTCATATTACGATCATTTTGTCTGTTCGTGTTATTCTAAATTTGATCATCTGATTTCAAAATTTCTTCACCGTTTAAAATAGAAAAATAAAATATTGAATTAATCTTCATTATTGAATTTTTCGTTATTTCTCTAAAACTAAATTTTTCGTGTATCCATCTTCGACTACAATAGTTGCAATTCTCTTATTGCATATAATTTGTGCAAGGGCTGAATATTTTATTCAAGTTACAAAGAATTTGCAGATTCTTTAAATATAAAAAATCTGAAAAACGAGTAATGAGGCTCGAAAATTTGAAAAACAAGGATCGTATACGCGATATTTTGGATATATTTTAGAATTTTATAATTTAAAAATATTAAAAATTAAATATTTTGCTCTCTTTCTATTGAATTGCTATTCCATAAAGTTTGTTGAACGTTATATTTTAGGTCCTGATACCTTCAACTTAATTAATCACTGTAATTGTAAGTAGCAGCGAAAATGTTACCGTAATCATCCTCTTACTTTGTAAATATTATATTCTTGTGCCGAAATGAAATTAATAATCAATTGAATTTCCATTGTCAATTTGAGAGCGTATTGTAGGGCATATCCCGTCCCGCACTCAGGATGGGAAGTGCACAATAGATCCTTATTCGTTGTCACTAGATACGGTTGCCCAAGTTGTATAAATCTGCATTTGTATAATCTACAATTCAATTTCAGCTTCTGTATTAGTATAAATTTGAATATTACTAGTATCATTTTAAAATGTATCCGAAATTTATGCAAAATTTATCCTAAATATATGCAAAATTTATTTTGTGATACATAATAAGAGATTGTCTATTACAACAGATTGCTTTCATAATTCAAAGCATAATAAAGCTCTAGACTTAAATTTTAACAGAGAATGTGCTATTTTTGCAAACAATAGATTTCGTTATGCCAAAAACTGGGAAAAATAAAAATTAATATTTTTTTTTTTGTCTTCATTGCAATTTTAATTCCACTTTTATTTTTTTTTTTTTTTTTTTTTTCTTTAATATTTATAGATCGAGCTCATTTTATAGTTTATCATTTAGCAGAAGAATTAAATAATTGTTCAATAAGATCAAGAACGCAAATTGTTTTACCAAATGATGTGGGAATTCCATATGACAAATATTTGGAATTTAAGGTAAGAATTTTATTTTTCATTATTTTGATTTATTTTTCTAATTAAAAATTAAAAATTTTCATGTTAATTTATTTGTCGGCATATTGAGTAATAATTTTTAGGGAGAAAGAGTATTGTTTATTTAATTTTAAGATTTCCTGATAATAGTAAATATGTACGTAATAAGAATATTTATGAATTAGTCATTATGCCACTTAAAATGTTTGGAAGAACACACAAGTATCTTGAATTTATTTTTTGCGAAGGATTATGTTAGAGTGGTCGGTGCAAAAGTATTAAAGTATATTTGAAAAAAAAAAAACAATTACTTATAATTAATTTAGATTGTAGGAATTAAATGAAAATTTCTTATAAAATTTTAGTAAGGAATTCAATTGTGTTGATAAAGGTTCGTTTTAAATCCCTTTAAATTTCAATAAATTTTAAAATAATTGTCACAATTCGACATTCAGTTTATATAATTATAGCTATCTTTTAAAAAGTTAAAAAAATCATATATCGTTTATAAAAAATTGCATACTTTTAGGGGATTTCATTTTTTTTTAATTTATTTAAAATATGTGATGAAAATTTATGCATAAAATCTATATATTTTTTTTTTAAATTTAAAAATATTTATTAGGGGGGAACTTTTAAAAGAAATTTTCGAATTTTTAATGCAGGAATTTTCAGATTTTGTGTTTCATTATTATATGCAGCTGGTAGAAGAATTGTTTTTTTTATCCAGAAGTGAATTTTTCACTGCCGTCTTTCTGAGTAATAAATTTTTGAAGAATTAATGTAGTGCATATACAATATACATACATTAATTACATACATTACTATATACCTACCTATTCACGATATACGTACATTACCATAATATATTCATAGCATACATACATTGCTATATACTTACCTAAACGGTTTAAAATTTCATTACTTGCAAACAAGCGGCATATTATCATATGGTGAACATATGTTTCGCTTACACTTTATGATGTGTATAACAACAATGTATACCTTTATGTTTATATTATACATTAGAGTATAAAGCGGTATGCATAATGTTAATATGAAAAATGCAAGCCTATGCATTTTCAGTCATTATTATTGTTTGACGTAATTTTAAGTAATGAGTGAATGAAGGTATATAAATTGCACTTTCTTTTCCAGGAAATAGAAATAATTAACTAGAAACCTAGATTTTAAGAAACATATTGTAAATATTACAATAACAATTTAAAGTAAATTTAGAATAAGAATTTAGTATAAATAGTAGAATAAGTTTTTAAAATAAACAATCAAAGTTTTGAATCGAAACTACAAACATCTTGTTTTTCTTTTTAAAACTGAAGATTCTCCAAATCGGCAGTAGTGCCAAACTTGGATAGATCGGCGTTTATCGCCATTAGGGAAAACATAATCAAAAATAAAATATAACATTAATTTTATTACATGGCAACCCTGCCAAACATAATTTTATTACATTAATAACAATTAGTCATTTAAATTAAAATAATTTTCGTTAACAAGTCTGTTAATAATTCGGTAAACTGATGATAGTGAAATCATTTCTTAACTGTAATTTTTTCTCTTAGTTAAAATTCGTTAAGAAAATTAAATATAATAATAGTTAATTCTATCTAGTAGTATAATGCACTTATTTAATTGAATATTTTCTATAATATTGTAGCTTATTTAGTAAAAAGTTACTAAAAAATCTTTTATTTAAAAAAAATTTCATTTAACTTGATTCTGATGCATTCAATGGAGATGCTCAACATCTACATAAAATCTACATATTTTTGCTCAAATATCCATTATGAATAATGTTATGAAAATGAGAACTGTTAGAATCCTTAAAGAAATAATATTTTGTAATATACAAAATTTCAATAAATTTGTATGCATTTTCCATATATAGTTATAAAATGATGGGATTATAAAAATCTACTCTTATATGAACAAATAAGAAATATTTTTAAAATAAAATATTATTATATGAAATTCCAATAAAATATGAGCAAATAATTTAAAAGTTTATTTATTTTATCAAAAAAAAAAAAAAAAGAAACTTTTAATTTAATTTTATTGCATATAATATAAAAATTTATTTTATATTTAAATGTTATAGCTTTCAACGTGGGGATCACAAAAAAAAACTTGTTGAATTTTTTACCAATTTTCTGTTAAATTTATTTTTTATGAGTGCATTTTGCAATTTTATTTAAAAAAAAATGAAAAACGATTGACTTTAATCTGTCTCTAAATAAAAATTTCAATAAGAAAAAAAATTTACTCAATATTGTTGAATATTAAAAGGGACAGATTGATTTACATATAGTAGGGTGTGATAAATGCAATGAAACAGTATTGATGCAGGCTTAACAGTATGAATTGTTGAATTGCGTGTTAATACTGTATTATTACATTGCGGATTTTAAGAAGTACTATATTAAATTTTGTTCCACTTCCGAAGCTTCTTGAACATTTCTTAGAAAATCAAAAGTATTACAAATTTCTTTTTAAAATAAAATAAAAGTCTGAAATATAGTAATGGCAACTAACAATAATTCTTACTTTAAATTGATTAAGAAAATTGAATTTTTTCCCTTTAAATATTTTGAAAACAAGGAAGTACTAGCTCTATTCCTTTTGTCCTATAAATTTTATTGTAGCTGTATAGGTTAAATCCCTGGGGCTATGATAATAATTGATTCATAATTACACGAAAAATATATAAACTTTTGAACAAATTTTCTGGAATTCAATATTATTTTCCCTGTTTTTTGAAATTTTAAAAATTTATTATTGTAAAAATTTATTAGGTCAAGGTTATATTATTGAATACTGCTTTCCGGAAAATACAAATTCGTAGCTATTTACATATTTTATTATTGAGTAAATAAGGATATTTAAAATTAATTATTTCAATCAATTTAAAAAATTATTAAATTTCAAAAAATTTGTAATAGAAAATTGTATGAAATTTATACTCAGACACGTGTTCTTATATATAAGATATAACTAATAATAATATGTATGAATGATATAGATTTTACACTGAAAAAAAAATCATCTTTAAATTACTAGAAATTGTTTTTGTTCACGTTTCAATTTATTGTGTGATTTTGAATTCTTTTCTGAATTGGCTAAGAAAAATATGAGTAAAAAATAAAGAATAGTTTATATTAGGTATAAAAATCTAACACAAATATGGTATAAATACACTAAAATTGAAAAATGCAATTTTCCTAAAATATTTATTGAACAATATACAAAAATTAATGATTTTATACAAATTATATTCCTCGTTAAGCACGCTAACATACCATATTGCATTATTAATTCAAAGTATGAGAAACTAAAATTACGGTAGAGTAATTTGATGCCAAGAAAATAATTCCAAAGTTGACTATCAAATATTTTCTATACTTTTTTAATTAAATTTCGTTAAAATTTTTTTTCAGTGTATGCTATAAAAATTATGATGAAAGTTTTTAATTTTTGATATTTAAATTTCTTTCGGATCTGACTTTTTTCTGTTAAATAGCGAAAACTTTTCAAAAATATTTCTAATTTTGGTGTGTATATAAGCGAAAATAAAGGAATTAATATCTTTTTTTTTTTATTTCTTAATTTCTAACGCATTAAAAAGCTATTTATAACATTTTGTTTTTGAATTATTTTCATAAATTTTATTTTTTGATACAAAGTATTCTTGTTATTTAATATAATTTCCAAGAAAATTGAAGAAAAGGAAATGTACTTATTAATTTCATTCTGTCTGTCCATTAATCCTTGTGTCTGTGCGCTAGTTTATAAAACTTCTCATTCAATTAATATAAAAAGTTGAAATATCATACAAGAATGGATCTGGAATGGAAGAAAAATTTTTTTTCCTGCTTCCAACTCTTGCAAAATTTCATTTTCCGGTATTATTTTCTCAAATTTCCAAATTTCTGTAAAAATAATAAAGTATAACGGTAAATTTATTTTCATCCAAAAGTATTTTCATGATTCAACTTTCTTATAATTAGAATAGCTTTCGAAACCGGCTGATTGTTTAATACTTGTTTTAATTTTTAATTTCGTCCTAAAAGTATGCAACACAAGTTGAAAATTGTGCTACTTTTCAAACCAATTGTTTAAATCCGAATGATGTGTGATCCGAATTTATTTTCCCCCAAAAACTTTTTCTTGAATCACTTTCTTCTACAATTATTATATAATATCTACGGAATTAAGATAATTTCAGTTTAATAACCTAAAAATAAAATGAAAAATAGGAAAATGTTTTTTTTTTTTAATATTTACGATAAAATAAATGTGTGTGTTTTAGAAAAAAGCATAAAAAAAAAAATTATAATGAATTTTTGAACTTGTATTTTTCTTTTTTTTTTATTTATACTTTTTTATTTTTAAAAGGAAATGTAGGATAAAGCCTACATTATTATATTTTCTAGTTTAGTTGAATAATGATTTTATGATGTTCTGAGTATGAAAGCATGTTGAAAGCAAGAAAAAGAAAGATTATTAAAAAAATATGTAAAAAAAAAAGAAATGTTTTGCTTTTCTCTTTTAATGAACCTATAAAATATGAAGAAAGAATTTTTATATATAACAGTGAGTGAGTGATTAACTTAATTTTGAAATGATCTAGTTCTGTTTTTGTCTTATATTCTCTATTATATAAAGAAATTTATGTACTTGTAACATCATAACAATATTTTCTTCATTAAATTTTTATTTTAGAATATTAATTTTAATTTTTTGTTTTTCTTCAGTTTTTTTTTTTAATTCTGAGTCTTTAATCTATTTAATAAAGTTTATAAATGTCTTGTACATTTTTTTAACAGTGACTTCGAAATTTAGATATTGCATTTTTTTTTTTCCTTCTTCACTCCTAGGAGGAGTATAGGGCTAGCGCATGATATCTATCATGCCCTAGTTTCTATAGTCATAGAGAGTTAGCTAGGTAGGTGACTAGCCTACCGTAGTTTTTATTTATATTAAAT